GGATATGTACCAATTGTTATAACCACATTCATTCCTGTCCTCTTGTCCTCGATTTGACCTACCGAATAAGACTTGTCATCGTGTTTGTACCTACAAGAGAAACACGACGGGTGCCACATATTGAGCAGGAACTGCTTACCGTTCTTGAGCACCTGAGATCACTCTCAATTTAAGGTGGGGTTCGTGTTGATCAGTTTTCTATGTTGTGTTTTGTATACTATTTATCTGCTTTTCAGTTCGTTTTCGACTCATGAGTTTAAATATCAATTTAGCATCTTTTAAAATATATAAATCTTTTACTTTCCGAATACGGTACTGGTTTATTATTTGCAGCATTTAAAAAGCGTGTGCTCTTACTGTTTGCCTTTGTTTCAAGGAAAAAGACTAGATAGATCAAACTTTAATTTACATAACTTAATAGATACACCGTCAAGAAATCTAGCGCGGCTTTAATCAACTTTGATCTAATAAATGCATAAAGATTTTATATCTGTGTATATATATTTGGGTTAACGCAAGTAAACATTTTGAAAGCAGATGTGAAATAAAATTTGCAAGATGTTTTTGAACCGAACTGCACCTTCAACAAGACAATATATGAAAGTGATGTGAGTGGAGTTTTACCGCGATGTCCAACGAAACTTGGTTTATACATTACATCTTACTTAAAAGCCCTTTACGCATTGATTGCTGTGGTCATAATGCTGAATCTTTTGATAGCTATGTACAGGTATAAAGTAAATGGTATACGCTGAACAATGCAAAAAAACATGATATTGAATGTGCTCAGATCTATACAATAGAGAGGCTAAAAATACCAGAGGAAAATTCAAACTCAGAAGTCGAAATCAAAATGACATTGCCAATGGAAAAAAACGAAAAACGACCAAACGACAACCAATAATATACATAACACAACATAAAAAACTAAACTAAGGAAATATTGAACTAATAAATATGCTTCTAATCACAGAAAACACTTACAAATGTTGTTGTTTTGTTTGTACTCCTGTCTGCTTCGTTAAACAAATGTTATCTGTGACAACGGATTAACACATTTCGTCAACAAGGGTTTCCCTCGGTTTTAGTTTGTAACCCGGATCTGTTTTCTCTCAATCGATTTATGACTTTTGAACAGCGGTATACTACTGTTGCCTTTATTTACAAATCCTGTAGTCAGCACTTTGTTATTGATACATGTATGAAAGATAACTGAATTCATGTTTTTGTAAATTTACTCTTTTAAATGTTAAATTATTTGGAACACTAATAGTTGTCTATCCCAGGAATAGATCGTATTATCCGTATGGCACAACTTATCAGAATTTTTGGTTTTTAATACTCTTCAGCATTGCATTTGAAAAAAGTATGACAAAAATACTGAACTCCATGGTATATTCAAAAAGTGGAAGTCCATAAATACTGACAAAATCAAACGTTTGCAACCAAATGGACGAGTGGAAAACAACTTTCATATTCCTGACTTGGAACACGCATTTTCCGAAAATGGTGGTTTTATCTGGTTTTATAACAAAATAAACCTCCTACTTGTATGACAGTTGCTTATATGTCCGTTATATTGACACAATGTTGGTGAGCAACCCAAACAGACATATTTTCCAAAGATAAACACATATATTGTTTGTGAAACGAATTTGACACACTTGCTCAATTGAATTTCAGTAACATTTTTGAGGACGTCCATACAAAATCGATGATTTATTGGTCTGAGCTACAGACATCTTTTCTTGAGGAATATAGTATTCAAACAATATTTCCAATACACCTCGAGTTACTTACCTTACCGGGAACAGTAGTTGCAATTGTGTGGCTTTTCTGCGCAAATCTACGACAGAAGAATTCTGACGAAAATTATCGTACTAAAGAGCTTAATCATCACCCACAATTTGTCAGAGGTATGGTGTACATTTCAAAAATAGAAGATTTTCGTACCGTTTGTTTAGATTAGCAAATTTGCAGACATTTAAAAGAAAGATGTACAGTTAAACTTTAACAGTTATAACCTCAAGTGCAAATAAAATATGCGAAGAATCAATCAAGGTAAATAATTAAAAACTGGTGGAATAAAATGAACTCCAAAAGGTTGCTTCGAAAGGGTAAGCGTCTGTTGGTTAACCAACAACCGCAATGCGTATCCACACTTACTCTAAATGTCACAATTGAGCCTTTACTGTACTTTCACATATCGCACGACTATTCTGTTATCCGAAAGAGCAAAACATGTCGCTAGTGAGTTTGTACACAGCATAGCGTATCGGTCAACAATTTCTAAACCGTTAACCCTATGTATGTTGATATCAGTCGTTTTCCACTTAATTGTGTTGATTGATTGATTGATTGTTAGTTGCTTAACGTCCAGTGGCAAATATCTCATGCATATTCAGGACGAGAACAAATTAACAATAAATATAATAGGTAATTCCTGTAATAGAGACGGTCCGGGATGAAGGTCGGTGAAAATCTGTACTGGCACGGAAAAATGAGGGTACATTGGATAGTAACAGAAATTTAGCCTTGCAACAGGCCACCTCAGACTCCTCAAAGAATTATTGCAAGGGTTCCTAATGTACAAAGAACGTGGCACTCTCTTTACATGAAGTATCGAATTTAACGTCCCAATTCTGACGGAACGGGGCTGCGAACTTGTACATCCCTCAAAGCCGATCGGACGTCCCACTTTTGCGATAGTTTTACTCGGGTCGAAGGAAGAACAATGGTGACCATATTTCTATTCGCCAGTCACCCTTGAGGGGAGGGGGTAACTGTGTTGATGCATTTTTTTAATCATGAAGTTTGTATACTGTAACGATGCACCGGCGTAAATCATTGTTTAAAATATGTTAACGCCATGACAAGGGGGTATGTTGCTGCAGAGAAATGGTAATTTGACCAAGTCTGCTATTTACTTTGAAGTCGTCTATCTGTGTCAAATTGGAAAATTGAAGATGCTTCGTAATCTTGTTTTGGTGATATCCTTAAGAAGGAATTTTAATGTAAAAGTACTTATGACCTGTAATGGTTTACTTTTGCAAATTGTGACTTGGATGGAGAGTTGTATCATTGGCACTCATACCACATCTTTTTATATCTATATTATGATTTTAGTTATCTAGTGTTGACACTTCTCAAAATAATCTATTTTGATAAAAATAGGTGTTGTTCACTTTATTCGTGTATTTAAGTGAAGTACCAATTACAGAATATTCATTCGTTGTTTAAAAAGACGTTAAACCAGTGTCCCTATATTACATGAAGTCTTAAATGAAAAATATTTAAAAAAAAAATGAAATTAACTATTGATAGTTATCGTAAAAGTATTTGATGCTTTACTTTCAGTTTTTCTCTTTGATTCTAATTATGATTTGCAACTTAAATCGCCAGAAGCAGAGGAGACAAAGACTCAAAAAGACCAAGGGTAAATATACTATTCAATGCATTATTGTCTATTTGTAGTGTATATTTGAATGGTATGTAATGAGTTATAGAGACAGTGTGTTCTTCTTTTTCTTTATTTGAAATCTAATCTTTCCAAATAAAAGTTGTATTTTCCTTTAAGATACATGTTGTCCATGTTGTCTATGTGAAGAAAAAATTAATAGAGCTTGATTAATGTTTAAACTGTTGCAGCTATGTGTTTTTGTCGTCAAGTGGCCAATATTACAAAGAAGTAAGGACGGTGTCACACATAAAGATGTTTTCAGGTGAAATCTTAAAAAATCTGGAATTTAATATTCATATTATAATTCAGAAGAGCATTGGTTAAGAAACAAAATAATCTCAAAATAATGATAGGTTATGGCACTCCTTTTCGAGATATTTGATTTTTAGAAAATGGCGGGATAAGTTTGATTCGGACTTTAGCCTTATATTTAGCATTGACATTATTTGGATCTCAAATCGTAAGAAAAGAAATCTAGAATCTGCTTAAATTTTAGTAATGACCTTTTATGAGCTATTAAAGTCTTCTAGGAAAAGAAAAAAGGGTGATATGGGGCAAAATATTTTACCTTGTATCGTAGGGAAAACCCAAGGAGTCCGAACATCTGACAAAAATTTCTTAACCTGAAATGACTACATCCTTAAACTCTAAACATCAAGTTATAATGTGTGCAATTGAAGGATCGGAAAAAAAGAGAAAACATTAGGTTTTGGGGTTTTGGTTTGCATATATAATGTGTATGTTTTTAAGGTATAAAGACAATGATCTTAAATTTCCTTCTTAATATTTTCCATAAATACAGATAAAGTCTAGTTGTCCGAGTGGCGTAGTGTTATGGTCAAAGTGTTGGCCATGTCTCCACTGAGGGGAGAATATTTCAGATCTATCAGATCTAACATTGTTAAGGTCACCACGTATATTTCAAATTAGTTGTTCCTACTCGAGTCGTTCGTTTTCTGAAATCATGTAATAATTGGTTTGATGATTTAAGATGATCTTTATGTGACAGATCAGCTGTCAAGAATTTATTTGAAATAAAGAAAAAACATTTGCTATAATGTGCATTTTTTTTTATTACGGATGACGATTAACTTTTTTTTTGCAGGAAAATAGATGTTAACACAGTTACGGTAAACCTTTTCTTTTGTTTTAACAGTGAATAAATTTGATTGTCGAATACGAGTGATCGATTTAGATGTAAATATATGATTAAATCATACATGTCATATAAATCAATTCGTTATACATAGATTTTTTATACAGAAAGTATTGTGTTTTGGGCAACGTTGGCACTATTAGTATGTTCTTACAACCAAAAGATGACTGAAAATTCAATCATATTGTATAATATTTATTAATCAAAAACCTTTTTTAAATTGTCCGTTTATAAATTTTTGAAATGATAGAGAAACCAAGGTTTCAGCTCCCTCATGCAAAGCTGACCTGAGATAGATGTCGCTATTTTTAAGCTCCTTTTTGGTTATATAACTCTTCAGCTGTTTCGGTTCTTGTACATCCTTGGCTTTCAAATATTCCTCTTTGAGCGTTCATGATGAAGGTAAATCTAGAAAAGCGCTTCGGACGCATGACATTTATAACATGTTGTTTCATTTTCTACAAATAAAAAAATTGTCAATAAGCTACGATATTTTTTTCTGAATATGGAATATTTCAGTTTGTTTTGATCTATCCAACGTGAGTCTTTGTGTTTTCGCCATCGAAGCCGCCGTTAAAAGTTTCTAGTACAGAAAGTCGGGCTGTCAAGACGGTTCAATCTATTGCTCGACTTTATTCATAAAATTTGTTATTGGCAAATTGTGTTACGAGAATAGAGAATGTTTCAATGTGTCGTGGAGTTAATGCAACAGTAGTTTACCGATGATAAATTTCATAAATCGATGTGAAAGAAACAATTGTGTTAAGCAATTGACAAAAACTGAGATAATTAGATATTTCGTTAAGCAATGATCAAAAACGGGGGTAAACGGGTATTGTGCTAAACAATGAACAAAAACTGATGTAATCGGATGCTGTGTTAAGAAGTGAATAAAAACTGAGATAATCGATGTAGTAATCAGTGTGTCGTTAGGCAATGAACAAAAACTGAGATAATCGCTGTGTCGTTAAGCAATGAATAAAAACTGAGATAATCGATGCAGTAATAGGTATGTTGTTAAGCCATAAATAAAAACTGAGATAATCGGTGTAGTAATCGGTAGGGTGTTAAGCAATGACCAAAAATGGAGATAATCGGTGTAGTAATCAGTGTGTCGTTAAGCAATGAACAAAAACTGAGATAATCGGTGTAGTAATCAGTTTGTCAATAAGCAATAAACAAAACTAAGAAAACCGATGTAGAAATCGGTGCATCGTTAAGCTTTGAACAAACCTGAGATAATCGGTGTAGTAATTGGGTTGTCGTTAAGCAATGAACAACAACTGACATAATCTGTGTAGTAATCAGTGTGTCAATAAGCAATAAACAAAAACTGAGATAATCGGTGTAGTAATCGGTGCATTGTTCAGCAATGAACAAAAACTGAGACAATCGGTGTAGTAATTAGGGTGTCGTTAAACAATGAACAACAACTGACATAATCGGTGAAGTAATCGGTGTGTTGTGTTAAGCGTTGAACAAAAAACTGATATAGTCGATGAAGTTATCGGTGTGCCCTTAAGCCATAAATAAAAACTGGGATATTCGGTGTAGTAATCCGTGTGTCGTTAAAGAATGAACAAATCTGAGATAATCGATGTAGTAATCAGTGTGTCGTTAAGCCATAAATAAAACTGAGATAATCGATGTAGTAATCGGTGTGTCGTTAAGCAACGAACAAAAACTGAGATAATCGGTGTGTCGTTAAGCAACGAACAAAAATTGAGATAATCGTTGTAGTAATTGGGGTGTCCTTAAGCAATGAACAACAACTGACATAATCGGTGTAGTAATCGATGGGGTGTCAAGCATTGAACAAAAAACTGACATAATCGATATAGTTAACGGTGTGTCGTTAAGCCATAAATAAACACTGGATTATTCGGTATAGTAATCCGTGTGTCGTTAAACAATGAACAAAAACTGAGATAATCGATGTAGTAATCGGTGTGTCGTTAAGCCATGAATAAAAACTGACATAATCGTTATAGTAATCAGTGTGTCAATAAGCAATAAACAAAAACTGAGATAATCGGTGTAGTGATCGGTGCATCGTTAAGCAATGAACAAAAACTGAGACAATCGGTGTAGTAATTGGGGTGTCGTTAAACAATGAACAACTGACATAATCGGTGTAGTAATCGGGTGGGTGTTAAGCATTGAACAATAAACTGACATAATCGATGTAGTTATCGGTGTGTTCTTAAGCCTTAAATAAAAACTGGGATATTCGGTGTGGTAATCCGCGTGTCGGTAAACAATAAACAAATCTGTGATAATCGATGTAGTAATCGGTGCGTCGTTAGGCCATAAATAAAACTGAGATAATCGGTTTAGTAATCGGTGTGTCGTTAAGCAACGAAAAAAAATTGAGATAATCGGTGTAGTAATTTGGGTGTCGTTAAGCAATGAACAATAACTGACATAATCGGCGTAGTAATCGGTGGGGTGTTAAGCATTGATCAAAAACTTTACATAATCGATATAGTTATCAGTGTGCCATTAAGCCATAAATAAAAACTTGGATATTCGGGTTGTAATCCGTGTGTCGTTAAACAATGAACAAAAACTGAGATAATCGATGTAGTAATCGGTGTGCCTTTTAGCCATACATAAAAACTGAGATAATTGGTGTAGTAATCGGTGTGTCGTTAAGCAGTAAACAAAAACTGAGATAATCGGTGTGTCGTTAAGCAATGAACAAAAACTGAGATAATCGGTGTAGTAATTGGTGTGTCGTTAAGCAATGAAAAAACTGAGATAATCGGTGTGTGGTTAAGCAATGAACAAAAACTGAGATAATCGGTGTAGTAGTCATATGGGTTTTAAGCAATGAACAAAAACTGAGATAATTTGTGTAGTTATCGTAGGGGTGTTACCCAATTCCAAATTAGTATAGCATACGGAAATTTATCAAGGTAATTTAACATGTTTTGGTTTTCATTCATGTTAAAACAGCTATATGTGAAACGTATAGATTTGAGGAGTTTTAAATGTAAATTGTATCTTGAACATGTAGCTCTCCAATTGTATCGGTTCTTAAACATTGTTGGCTTTCAAATATTCGACATCGTAAATTCCTGATGAAGGTTTACCCAGAAAAGCTCCTCGAACGCATGAAAATTATAAAGTGTTGTTTTAATTTTTAACAGCAGTGGGTCGATACCGCTGCTAGTATTCTATTTATCCCCGAGGGTATAATCAGCTCAGTAGTCAGTATTTCGGTACTGAAATGATTTTTAACAAACTTTTGAAAAATTGCCCGTTTATAAATTTATAAATTATTTAGAAACTAAGGTTTCAATTCCCTCCGACAAAGCTGAATTAGATCAATTTGGCTATTAACTTTAGGTTGTTTTTTTTTTGTTTGTTTGGTTTTTTTTTTTGGGGGGGGGGGAGGAGTCATGTAGCTCTTCAACTAGTTCGGTTCTTATGCATCCTTAATTTTTAAATAGTCGTCATTGAGCGTTCCTGGCGAACAAAAATCATGAAAAGCGCTTCGGACACATGAAATTTATAAAGTGTTGTTTTCAGGTTTTACGGTCTCCTATTAATTACAATAAAGGATCATGCATTTATCAATATCATTAAATGTGTTTAATTTAAACAATTGTGCATTCATGTATCTGCCACTACCAAGAAAACTATATTAGAATCAGTCAACATTATTTCTATAAAATCATGTTTTTATAAATGCTTCAGAGAGAACCTGACTCTAATAGCACAAAGCAAGAAATACAAAACGAGAGTAATAACAGGATAACTCAAGAGGTATGTAAACAAACATATTCTTTAAAAAAACAGGCAGAAGATAAACTAATAACACCAAGCAAAACAAAAAAACGGACGACTCCACAAAACACTACATAGCAAACTAAAGATTGAGCAACACGAACCCCACAAAAAGTCTGGGGGTAAGTTTAGGTGCTACGGCAAGGTAAGCAGTTCCTGTTCCATATGTTGCCTGTACCAAATCAGAGATATGGCAGTTGTTTTGCACTTGTTCCGTTGATTGATAGCATTTGGTTTTGATTTTTGGACTTTGCCTTTTTGAACTTTCCTTGAAGTTCGGTATTTTTTGTTTTTTTTACTTTTTTGCATCCGTCATGTTGTTTGTGCAAGTGCATATCCTTGTTTCATACAATTGTGTTTTGTTTATTTTTTAATTGTATTTTTGTGCAAATATAATGTATAAATATGAGTTTGTCACTGTAAAATCTTAATCTAAATGTTATTACAATAGAGAAGACTACATTTACTCGGAATATGTTATTACAATAAAGAAGACTACATTTACTCGGAATATGTTATTACAACAAAGAAGACTACATTTACTCGGAATATGTTACTACAATAAAGAAGACTACATTTACTCTGAATATGTAATTACAATAAAGAAGACTAAATTTACTCGGAATATGTAATTACAATAAAGAAGACTACATTTACTCGGAATATGTTACTACAATAAAGAAGACTACATTTACTCGGAATATGTTATTACAATAAAGAAGACTACATTTACTCGGAATATGTTATTACAATAAAGAAGACTACATTTACTCGGAATATGTTTGATTATCTATTATCATTTTTCAGATAATCAACAGACTTAAAAATCTGGAAGGTAGCTTAACAGAATTAAAGGATACAAAGAAAATGGTTTGTAGTTTAAATAATTTAATTTTTTGTTTCTGATATTTTTGACATTTGACTTCAAATGCAATTGGCATTATGCTCATTCATAAGATAATGGTTTTCACTTTCGTTTACTTTAACGTTCAATGAAAAAAAAGACAAGATTAAATTAACCGTTAAAACAAAAGGATTGTTGTATGTGCTGCACAGTATGACCGCTGAGATCAAGGACGCAAACGTAGAAAAATGCAAGAGAATATTTTGGATAGAGGAATTCACCTAAAAACCCCACAGAGAGTTGTTGAAAGAGTTATTTGAAAATGGCCCTGTGTATTTATACATATTGCACAGCCAAATGAACGTCCGACTTTAGTGAAGGTTTTAATTTAGGATCTGGTGAATTATTCGGATGACCGTAAATATTAACCCGAGTCTTGCTTTCTTTTACTTTTTATTGATACAATATATTTTCCATTCAGCATATTGTATTTCGATTTGATATTAGACAACAAAAAAAACCTTGAAAAAGGTAACCATCTATTACTTCATAATAACATATACAATTTTGTTGTTATCCTGTACGAACTAAGGTTGACTAAAATCAAAACTTTTTCATACGCATTTGTTTAATAATTTGCAGACTCGTGACTGTTTTATTTCATTGTATTTTAACAGTTGATAAATTAGCTGCAACTTAAAGCACATATCTGTCCAATAAGGAAACACTTTCATAACTTCTTAATAGACATTCTAATTGATTTTAAATTCATCTTTGTTCTTTTACTTTTTCAGATGATGGACAAATTGCAAAGTATGGAAGAAAGTTTAAAACACGGTTCTAGAAATGATATGAATGGATCTTAGTCTAATGTCTTCTGTAGACGATCTGAATGATATAATCGTAGTAACAATACATCCTGAGTACAATATAGGGATTTGTAATGAGAGAGAACTGTGCTATTTTTCTAAATTTTAGATAGACCAATTTGAAATATAAATATGTTGATAGAGAATTGTTTTTCATTTAATCAAAATATCATGTTAAGTAAATGATTTTAACGTTCAGAAATGTTTTTCTCCAATATTTATGATACCGCCTTACGTATTGTATTTTACACCTAAAAAAGAACAAATGTTAGTTTTAACTGTACATTTTTTGCTGCCGACGTAGACATTGGATACAACACTCCTGGTAATTGAAATAACATTGACGGTACCCATTGTGCACCAGATGTGAGAAATGTATCTATTACTATCTATTGGCCAAAATATTTGAAAGCCTAAAATATAATACAAACGTTTAAGAGTTGTTAAAACCACAAATAGAACAAAAGTAAATTCAAAACTGGACAAGGAATCAAAGCTATCCACGAGGGAGAAAAAATCCTTTAATTAAAAAGATTTCAAAATTTTATAACAACAAATTAAAACAAAGCATGGTAGGAGTACTGGCTACTTAGCTAGTGATACTATCGGGAACAAATAGTCCACCAGCAAAGGTATCAGCCAAGTGGTAATAATAATATTGACGGTACCAATTTTACTGCTCTAGAAATTTTTGATAATCATAGGTTATGACATGATCCTTGTGGCCATGTTGTTACCGGACACTTTGTTCAAATACCGTGAGGTGTTGTGTTTCTAAGAAAGGCCCAAAATTCCATCCACCTTTTAAAATTAACTGGAAGAGGTGTTTTGTAAACTCATTAACGCCTCCCTTTCCCCTTTCTGCAAATCATTCTGAAGACGAGATAATATTGATTATAAAGTTTTGATTCCTTGTTTTAAAAAATCATCAATTTTTGAAGATATTTTGTTTTAAATATTTCGAAAATGAACTTATACAAGATTTCTTCTGAAAGATGCCGAGGCTATAGAACAAACTTTAGGAAAGCGTGTTGTGTAAACAACGTTTTCGTCGATTAACGTAAATACCTTACCGAAGTACTTCAACAACGACTGAATTAAAAGCTGCTACTGAACATCTCAAAGTTCCCATATGTATTTGCTTCCTAAACACGAGCACCTTTTATGATTTTTGTTTTACTAGAAGATGCCCGCGAATCGCGGTACAATTGGGCAAGTGTTAAAAACAAAGAGTTTTTAAATTTCGCGGGCTGTACGTCGACTGAGCATGCGCGAAAGCGTATAAAACACGGATCGATAACGGTCTCCGAATTTGGATATTTTCTCAAAAATTGGCGTTTTCTGTGGAAAAAAGATTGTTTCAAAGACAAATTTAGGAAGTACAAAACACTACATTTATACGTCATATCACAAATATTTCCGACTTTGTATGGTTTCAGAGGAGTTGCGGCTCAATGAAATCGGTTCCTTCCTTTAGTAGTATAGATATCTGTATTCAATAAGTGTTCACTTGTTTCGATTGTTCTGACTTGTTCATTTTCAGTTGTTAAAGAACTCGCTATGAAAAAAGGTGTAAGACATGGTTGGCACAACTTTTTGGTAGAATTGATAGGACGGCATAATTCCACATCAACAGGTCAAGAACTTTAAGCTTGTGGTCACTGAATGTGATCAGTCTTAAATATAACATCATTTATGATTATTTTTCGTTTTTTCTCCTTCTATTATACCTGTATTAAGGAGTTCAGTGATTTCCTGATCTCTAAAGTGTACTATTTGATGTGCGTATAGGTTGTCCATTGATCGAGAATAATTATGGGGAGGGCTAAGATTTTGAAAATCTTGTTTAACGCCGCCTCATATTCGTGAACCGGTCTTAAGTCAGAAAAATCGTATTATGTTGTCTTGTTTCATATGTTAATGTTTTTAAAAGTTATGAGGATAATTTTGTGTTTTATTTAAACACAATTTTCATCGCCTCCAAACCATTTTGAGCTAAAATATTGTTTAGACGTGTCAATTGTTTAAGACTGATGCCTTTTATATATCGTATGGTTATTTTTATCTCTGGATTGCAGTCTCAGTCATGTATTCCACGTCTTCTAGTTTTTATACATAAATGTTGAGGTTCCATAAATACTTATTTCAAAAACCGGTAAATGGAAAGAAATATAGAAGCTGTAAATCAACTCATCATAGATGCCAGGATTCAAAATTTTATACGCCAGACGCGCGTTTTGTCTATAAAACACTCACCAGTGACGCTCGAATAAAAAAAGTTAAAAAGGCCAAATAAAGTACGAATTTGAAGAGCATGTGCCGCTCAGCTAGGTCTGTGTGCATCTGTACCAATGGCCACACTCCAGCATTGTACACTAGAATATAATTCCTCACTCAAATCTTTTATTTATTGATCTTGTATCGGTGATTATGTTTTTGCTGTTCACAGTGTCCTTCTGTCATCTTTAGTTTTTTCCCAAAGCAAAGAAAAAATGGAAAAAGAATTGTTATTTAAAGGCAAAAACATATATAAGAAGGCAACTAACAGTTTCATAGATGCTGACTTGTTAGTAGAAAAGAGGCGCAAAATACCAAAGGCTTGTTCAAACTCATAAACTCGAAAACAAACAAAAATGCCATGGCAAAAAAAAAAACGAAAAACCAACAGTTTACAAAACACAACATTAAAAACTAAAAACTGAGCAACACGAACCCTACCAAAAAACCGGGAGATCTCAGATGCTCCTGTGCTCAAAGGAGAATATTTTTATATAAAAGACGAGGACGGACGCCAAGTTATAGAAATAGCTCACACCGACCTGTTGGGCCAGATGAGCTTATAATTGACACTCTTGAATATGACAGATGTTTTCCATTCGTTCCAATGGTTGATATACGCGAGCGTTTGATTTTCTTAGGTTCTGTGGACTTCCCCCTTTTTGAATATACCTTGGAGTTCAGTTTTGTTTTGTAAATACTTTTTTGATTTATGCTCTATTGATCTAAAAGTAAAAGTAGAATTATTTTACCCAATTTATATATAAAGCAATCCATCATGAAGTACCAGTAGAGGTGATTTTATATTCAATATATTCAATTTTCCTATTGTCAACCTCCCTTTTCAGCAGTTACTAACATATGCTCCATCGTATCGTATCAATATATCTCAGTTAGTGCGTTACTCTTGTTCATGTTCACTTTATATGAACTTAAAAGGGGTGTGTTTCGTACGCAAATAAAACTATTCAACAAAACTATAAAGAAGAACAACAAAAATCCACTACATTAGATTTATGGTCACCATTACCAAAAGGTTGACAGATACAAGTTGTCGTTGTCTCAATTGACTAGCGACATGTTTTCTCAGTTTTATATCTTTAGATACCAGTAGAGTCGTTTGATCTGTTATTCTATAGATTTTGTTCTATTCCCGATGTTGACGTTTGATTGAGTGTAAATTCGCATGGCGGGTGATACATGTATAGCAGGAGATCTTACCTTATCGACCCACCCGGTGTCGCTCCTTTGGAAACAAAGGAAATCTACAAAATAGACTTACTTTAGACCTATCATTAGATAATGTGTTAAACATACTTGAAATAATAGGTTGAGTTAACTTTCTAATAAATAATTACATTTAAAAAAAAAATGCGAAAATGGGAAAACTTTGAGTAAATTAAATTATAAGAGAAATTAGTGTTTTATTTTTAGGTGTCACTGTTACACAGTATGATTTTTTTTTAATCTTATGCAACCCGAGTAAATCCTTCAAATTGTAAGTAAACTTTTGAACATACTTTAGACCTATCAATAGATAATGTGTTAAACATACTTGAAATAATAGGTTGAGTTAACTTTCTAATAAATAATTACATTTAAAAAAAAATGCGAAAATGGGAAAACTTTGAGTAAATTAAATTATAAGAGAAATTAGTGTTTTATTTTTAGGTGTCACTGTTACACAGTATGATTTTTTTTTAATCTTATGCAACCCGAGTAAATCCTTCAAATTGTAAGTAAACTTTTGAACATAATTCAAAGAATGTGAGATTTCTTGGTATCTTAAAGAAAAAAAAACTCCAATTCAAAAATAAAAACAAAAATGTAAAAAGGGCATATCATTTAAAAAATATTTCAATCTATAACGAAATTAAGATGCCTATCTAAAAAATTTCATGTTTATTATTTTGACTATGCATAGTCTTTATATGTTTTTCACTGAATTTAAGTATTAATTTTTAACTGTATAAACATATTTTTTTTAAATATAGTTTTCAATGATGGATTTTTTGTTTGGAAAATGATTAATAAAAATAAGGTTCAACTCCCTCAGGCAATGTTGACCGAGGATGGATTTGGCTATTTGTTTAAAATTTTTTTACATGACACAAGACAAATACAAGAACGTTGGTATGACCAGGGTTTTTGTTTAAACCAGGTCAAGTCTACTAAATATAATAACAAAATATAAAGGAATAACATTGTTCATTAGTAAATATTATCTAAATCTTAAACAAAGTATAAAATGATTAAACTGAGAATTTTTATTAAAGCTACAGAAGCATTGCCTATAATTGCATACATCCACTTCATCTGAACTTTGGTGGATAGTTGTCTCATTGGCAATCCTACCACATCTCCCTATTTTTATATTTATCAATTATCTAACTTATATAATGACGTATAAAAAGAATTATGTTGTGAAATATGAAGTTCTTTAATATAGCCCAATAATTCGTAATACAATGTGTATTGTATTATTACGTTTTACATAAACATTAACATTATTCCATCATGGCTTATTAAATCAAGCATACATACAAATCAGAAAAAGACATGTTCATTGACTTTACGGACCACATGTATAAATGGGGATATTGGATAGCTCAGGGTTCGGGTAAACAGAACAAGAACGCTTAAAAGAACTATGCTTATAATTTGGTAAGCCATACACACGTGCCGTATTAAAACAAATTTGAAGGTCAAATCCAGTTCAAGTTGAAGAGGATTGACAACCATAACTTCCCAAAAGATTTGAAAAAACGGTTAAGGTCATCGATATTAATGAAATGTGGTAAAATTGCCGATGAGACACCTATCCACCAGAGATCAAATGATGTAAATGTAAGGTATATACTGTGGATTCATTTCTTTTCGTGGGAACCAATTTTCGTGGATGAAGGAAAACTTACATGTTTGTGG